AATAAACTGAAAGATGAACTTCAAAGTAAATTGAATGAAAAATACCAAGTTACTGAGCCGAAAATGTTAAATCCAAAAATTAAAATAATAAATTATAAAAGTAGTGAGAAACCGAATGAAAAGCAAATTGAAGAAGATCTTATACGTCAGAATTATATGATTCAGAGTGGAGACATACAAGTAAAGTTTATCAAATATTTTCCATCAAGAAACAATTACACTATCTACGCGGAAACAACCAATATAAAAATAAATTTATAGAGCTTGTAAGGCAAACCAAACGAAAACATTACCTAAATAAATTGAATAATAACTTATATGATCCTAAGCGGCTTTGGACAACTATTGATGAGATTACTGGTAAAACAAAATTTAAAGAGTGTGTCACTGAGTTAAATACAACATCGGGAACAGTATTAAAAAATACTCAACAGATATGCGATGAATTTGTACAATTCTTTACTGACATAGGCGAAAATTTAGCAAGTAATATACAAGCAAATGTACAAAATACTCAGCCTCCAAAAAGAACTTTGAACTCATTTATTTTGGATAAAGTCGAGCAATGTGAAGTATACACCACTGTTACGTCCTTCGGAAAAGTCCTGGGTTCGATGGTATTAAAAGCGAGCATTTGAAAATTATAGCCGAGGACATAACAGAACCACTCACTTACCTAATCAACAAATGCTTTGAATCTGGCATATATCCCTCAATTTTAAAAAAAGGTAATATAATACCAATACATAAATCAGGAACAAAAACAGATGTTAACAACTATAGACCAATATCAATAATATCCAGTGTAGCAAAGGTTTTTGAAAAAGTTTTATCTACTAGAATGATTCGATACCTCACAAAATTCAAAATTTTAAGTGAAAATCAATATGGATTTACAGAAAGGAAGGCTACATCGGACGCAATAACTAAAATTGTAAATCAAATACATCAAAATATTGATAACAGAATCCCTTCAATCTGCATTTTTGTTGATTTAAAGAAAGCTTTCGACACAGTTAATCACAAATTATTATTAGAAGCATTGGAGAGAATTGGTTTCAGAGGAAACGCGTACTCACTGATCGAAAGTTATTTGTCAAATCGCCCACAATCTGTGCAGATATCAGGATCATTTAGTAAAGAAATGTATATTAAGTGTGGTGTCCCACAAGGAACTGTCTTAGGTCCGCTGTTATTCAATATACAGGGTGACTTTGAAGTTGAGTCATTAATTTTCAGATAATGATTGTAGAAGGAAGATAAACCAAAATATGTGTGTAAAAATAAAAAAAAAATAAAAAAAAAATGTTACCTTGTTTAATAAAGTATCCTTCCGACAAGTATTTCAGTGCGGACCTGTATTTGATCGTGCGGTCTTGGAGCAGCATGCCCTCACCTGTGAGGTCTTAAGTCACCTGATTCACGAGCCCTTTGCACTACATTAACAAAGGCACGAGGGGTTGGTTGCACTCGATTGGGAAACCGATTCGCATAAATCCGTGATGCATCCGGGAGCATTTTGTAAAGACTGCCCCCCCGTAAATAAGAATCATGTCCACAAGTTCAGCATTTTCGTAAACATGTGCCATTTTTGATTTCGTTTGAGCCACGCAACACACTACTATTCACTCAGGATTTATCGACTGACGAAAAACATCGTGATAAACGTTTCAAATTCTTTCGCTTTTTTGTTTCCGATGCGATGAACCGGTCAGGCGGATTATATCCGTTGTCGCCAAACACGAGCATATAATAGGCAGGGCGGTACTCAAACTTCCAAAGGGCTATAACTTTGTTACTTTAATTTTACCAGAAAAATGGTAAAGGAAAAAAACATTTCTTTTGATCAGATCTACTCACTGTTAAAATAAATGACTCAACTTCGAAGTCACCCTGTATATTTAAATGATATTTTCCAAATTAATTGTGTTGGCAAAATAACTAGTTTTGCAGATGATACTGCAATATTATATGAAGGCACTGACTGGTCTGATCTGAAAAATGTAATTGGAAATGATTTTATCAAAATTATTCGGTGGTTTAACAGTAGAAAATTAAGCATTAACTACTCTAAAACACATTTTTTACCATTTGGATCTTATGCTAGACATCTGCCAAATTACACAAATTTCTCCTTCAATATTCATGATCAAAAAATGCAAATTAATAGAGTGCCCAACATAAAATAGCTTGGAGTGGTCTTGGATCCTCACTTACGATGGGACATCCATGTCAATTATATTTTAAAGAAAGTTAGATTTGTATCCTACAAAATTAAATACCTTGGGAATATATTGACAGAAAGATATCTTCGAACATTATACCATGCACTGATTGAGCCTCATCTCACATATGGTATATTAGCATGGGGAGCTGCATTTTCCTCACATATCTATAATTTAGATGTTTTTCAAAAAAGTATTCTAAAAATGATATTTAAAAAACCGAAACTTTATCCAACTGAAGAATTATACGCAGATGTTCGAATGTGTGATATAAGACAGCTTTATTTCTTACACAGTATCACTCACTACCATAAATTTGTAAACACCGACCAAAAAATTAAACATAATCATTATACCAGGTACAAAATTCGTGGCACAGTAGTTCCTCAACCGCATAAATCCAGAATGCAGCGATCATATCTCTATTTAGCGCCTAAATTTTATGAAATTATACCTAAAGACTTTAAAAGATTTACGTTTCGGAAATTGTTTCAAAAGAAATTTAAAAAAGTGGCTACATTCTATATCTAGGACTGAAATTCATAAACTCATAAATACGAACATCAACTAAATACATAATCTACTGTAGCTAATTTTTGTCCTTTTTTGTCATTTGCATTCTACAGTTTCAACTTAAATTTATTGGTCCATGTACAGGCGATGCCTTCTATTGGGCCTATTTTGATTTTATATTTATTTACTCATATTGTTTGTTATCTTTGTACATTGAGTGAATAAATATTATTATTATATTATTATTATTTAGATCGAATAATACGCCCAAATCCTTGACGATATTAACACGACAAAGAACATTGCTACTGATTTCAAAATTAAAACGTGTCGGTTCCACCCTGCGTGAAAACGTCATAGTAGTACATTTATTGACATTCAAGTGCATGTTATTTACCTTACACCAGTGATCAATGACATTCAGATCAGCCTGTAACTGTCTTCTAAGCAGCACACGCTATTAAAGATTTTGAGGTGATCGGCATATAGCAGGTACTCACAACGCAAGTCTGTTGTAACATCAATGATAAAAATTAAAAATGATAGAGGACCCAGAACAGAACCTTGGGGCACCCCAGACTTATATCCACGGAAATCCACACATAATTGTCTATCACTGATGTATGAATGAAAGAAAGCTAAGAATCTAGATGTTAAACCGTACTTAGACAACTTCTGCAGTAATCCAAACGGTCGAAAGCTTTCGAAAAGTCAGTATAGACTACATCAGCTTGCCCGCCATTATCCAGAACTGACGCGGAGTACTGCTTAAAACATGCCAGATTACTACACGTAGATCTACCCTTATAGAAACCATGTTGACACGTCGATATTGACCAACTTACATGAGAGAACAGAATATCAAAAAGAACAAACTCAAAAATTTTGGCAATATTACCTAAAATAACAATAGACCTGTAATTCTCTACCTGCGATCGATCGCATTAAAAACAGGTGTTATTTTAGACAATTTCTATTTTCTAGGAAAGATGGCAGATTTCAAGGACAAATTGAAAAGATATGTCAAAGGCTCAGTAAGAACCGCACGCACAGTCTTTTAGAAAAAATGAAGGTATGGAATCCAAGCCAGTGGAACATTTAGGCTGTAACCGTTTTATTGCATTCCGTACATGCTCCACATTAATAGTCACTATAGGGAGATACGATATATTTTCTGCAACGGAACAATCAGCGGATGGTTGAGAGGACGTGATGTAGGTGGACTGGAAATACCTGGCAAAAGTATCAACATTTTCCTGTGAATTCCTGAACTCCTCATTTTCCAAAGACATATTGTTGGGTATGCCTGATCTGTCGCTGCGCAAGTTAACAAAGGACCAAAATTGATTGGGGTTTTGCGCAAGGGCACGCTCAGTTCTCGCAACAAAATTAGAAAACGCCAAGTCTAGATCGATTTCGATGGCTCTTCGCAAGCTACTGAAAGCTTCATAGTCAGATCTAACCGAAGTTCTCTTATATCACTTCCAGAGGCGATGTTTTTTTGATATAAGATTATTGCACGAGAAAACCAGGGAGGGTATCTGTTATGCTTTGGTAAATGTCCATGGAACGTGCCTATCGAAAGCGTTATACAAGTTATTATAAAACAGGTCACAAGCAATATTAATGTCGAGGATGTCAGATGGAAAAGAAAAATCTGAATCCATAATACTGGTGTAGAGCGCAAGAATATCTGCTCTCCTAAAGTTATATTGCGGATTACTATTATTTGGGCGTAAGTTATTCAGAGAACGCGGAAGTGAAAAGAGCACTTCTATCGGAGGTATGTACGCCTTAATAGAAAGATACATCTTGCCCCCTCTGACTGAGAAAAATTTCTTCGGGCACCCATGATTAGTACGTGACAATTTATATTATTCAATGCAAGCGTTTTTGTTTCGTTTGTAAACATCTATATTTCAAATTTTGCCCTTCATTTGTGACTCGCCACCATTGGATGGGGCCTACCTACAAATGTTGATATGGGGCCCTTGATTTGCATATTTGATGTAAATATAAAATTTTACATGAAAAGGCCAAACTCGATGCTATTCAGAAACTATATTTGGAGAGTTGTTATCGCACCACATAATTATTTGAAGAACATTCATGTTTTATCCCTCAATTATAAGCAATTATGTAGGAGCGCGTAATAATATTCCAGGTTTTACGTTTATAGAAAATATTTATGATATCTGGATGTACTTTTGTCTCTAAGAATGTTGACATTGTTGCCTCAATTATCCCAAATTCTATTATTACCTTCCTTTGCGCTATCTAGGAACTGCTTCAGGTCCTTTGGCAATGGTTTGACTGGTTTTATATGCATCTGTTCCATGCTGATGACTGTCGGAACATTCGGTCTTGGTTCATATAGAATGGGATTCGTCGTCAGGAGTAGCAAGCTCATGTTCTTTTCTATGTCTTGAATGTAAGGTAGATCGTTGCCCAGGTACTTCCTCGCTATTTGGTCACACTTTGGCAGAGCCTCAAAGTTCAGATAGTATCTGAAAATACAAAATTGTCGTATGGGATTGTGACGAAAATATTACGAAATAGTCACATTCTAACCAGTAATCTGTTGTATGTACAGGGCTGGACAATAGGCCCTAGGTGTATATAGGGAACAGAAAATAATGCCACAAGTGTTCATAAAAGAATATCGCTAGAAAGTATTTGTTTCTCAACGTGTGAACCACATAGCATTATTCAACGAATTTTTCACTGCGAAGTGGGGGACCACATGAAAAAAAATTAACTCATTTAGGACCGTCTCGTCAGTCGTTTCTACAATCGTAGGACGCATTTATGGCCTCCACGAATTTCATAGTTTTTCCTGTTCTTCAGAAACGCAGGGGTATTCCTAGATTTGCACTGCTTCTAAACATAGATTATTGACTGATTTCGATAGCGCGAGTTGTTTTTGTTTAAATATCACCTTGCAGTGCAGCTGACGCAACGGTTGACAAAAATCTAAAACTAAGCATTATCTGAATGTCGCCGTGCGCTGCGCGGGTTCGAGTCCCGTCCCAGGAGAAATTTTTCTCTTGGCTATGGATGTTGTGATTGTCCGTAGGTGGTGGACGGTCTCTGACTGTCGAACGTGGAGGTACCACCCGGCGGATCTCGTAGGCGGAGCCAGAATGTGTGCATGTTGCATGCACACGTGTTCCCTCGCCAGAGTCCGTGTGGCGTTCCTCCTTTCCCCTGTATCCCCCTATAGCCCCACGGTACCCAATGGGTGTTTAGGCCTTAGGCCTTCGTGGTAGTTGGAGTATAAAAAAAATTTATACCGGGTGTTTCAAATTTGACTTTCACCATTAGGATCTCGGAAACTGTAAGAGAAGTCACTTGAACGGAGGCATAGTTGCCTATTTAGACGCTCAGAAAGTTTCAATTTTCAAAGTACTACCGAAGAGAAGCGTGAAAAACGAAATTTCTCAAAATCGTTTTTTTCTTGACTTTCAAAATAAATTGCACATTAACGTTGCCACTTTTTCTCGTCTACAAGACATAAACAGAATTTCAATAAAACGTATCGTCTCTTGTCCTCCAGCATCAAATTTATTTTTTATTATGGACGCCGCATATGATTTTCACACATGTGCATAGAGTTCTTAATTCTGATTCCAAAAATGTATGAAATGTCACTTGTTTCGCATCCCAAAATCATGCTTATTCTTTCTTGACCTTGAGATGGGATTTCAAAATAAATTGCATGTTGTTAATGTTACTTATTCTCCTAAACCAGATGGCGTAGTCAAATTTCCAATTCGAATTCTCTTCTTTTCCATCACAAACTTTTTTTCATATGGAATTTTTTTCATTTAAATGGAATTTTCAGTTCTGATTTCACTGATGTATTTCCTTAGTTGGCCATGGATTTGTCGTTGGATGTAAATTATAAGGAAATAAGGTATGATGAAACCTGAACAAAAAATGGATATTTTATTGATGTTAATAACAATAATAATCTTAATATGCTGAGATCTGATCTGGTATACAAAACAAATGACTATCTGCTTTTATAGAATAACTAAGGTTTGGCAATATCAAAAATCCTATTCAGTTGCCCAAAAATCCCATATGGAGTCCACAAGAAAAAATAAAGTTCATGCTAGGAGAAGAAAAGTGGCGATATTAGTATGAAATTTATTTAAAAATTCCACTACAAACAAAGTCAGGAAAAAACTACTTTTGGAAAATTTGTTTTCTTCTGCCTCTCCCGAAGTACTTCGAGTTTCGAAACTTTCAAAAATAAATTTTGTTAGTTACTTAAATACGCATCTCATTTAAGCAAATTTGCATCTTTTACCGTTTCCGAGATCCCAATGGGGACGGTCGAATTTGAAACACCATGTATACCGGAGTTATTTGGGTCGCTGATTACAGACTACTAATAAAATTACTATATTTTCAAAATGACAGAAACAGTATACTGGGTTCACTATCCAAGTTGATATAACTGATATACATCAGGAGGTTTTGTTGTGCTTTCCAAAAAAGTCATCGTTTGGTGTAAGAAGTTATCAATATTGCTTTGGAGCTAGCCTATGCTGTGAAAGCTTCATTGAATCATATAATGTTTTTTGGAAGTAAATCAAGAAACCAACGATTTGTGGGTTAGACTCTGTACATACCGTAATATAAAACTACCCAATTTATGAAGTAATTTTCTTATATCGCTGCCAATTTATACAATAGATGGCCATCAAGTGCGAAGACACTTCCCAAATTTACTTTCGCAAAGTCAAGCAATTCATTTTTGATAAAGATTTCTCAATTTTTGAATAAGTTTTAAATGTTCATATGTATCTTGTATTGTTCCTTGTCGAAAATTTAACATATTCCTCTTTTTTGTACCGAGTCTCCTTTGATTGAGTCATTGGCTCAGTAAGTGCCTTGTTAGTGCGCTCTTCAAGGAAAGTGTACTGTTTTTTTTGAATTATTATTATTATTATTTTCAATAGCGTTCTTCAGGAGCCCAATCCTATAGAACGTTTTTTATAATTTTTTAGCAAGTGACACTAATTCTTTGTACCCTATGTATCTTCGATAGACACCTTGTGTACTTAGTTCTGAGTTTAGATTTCCACTATTCACTTCGCTCCCGGAAAAGAACGTCCTTAATAAAATATAATAACAGACCAGTGTGTCGCAGTGGAGGATCGTGATTGACCCAATCACAAAAAACCTAATCTACGAGCCCCTTCCCACTTCAGTTGGCCCAACTATTGAAATCTTAGCTTTTTTCTTATCAAACACAAATAATAAAAATGTAGAAGGGTGTTACAGGTTTAAGATATTAACAATGAATATTTTGATAATGTATAGTAGAAAACACCAACTTTATCACTCCCTAATCAAATTTGCAGCATAAAAATAACACATGTTGCTATTATAGCATATCAACCTATTTTCATTTCAATGCAAAATAAGTCTATAACGCATAGGTGGCTGTGAAAAATAAAAGCTATGACATTTTTTTTATTAATCACAGCTGTCAGAATACGTTTAAAATAGTTTTGGGTAGTTAAGGTTTTCGAAATGGGTATAGGAAAGGTTATTAGTGAGAAAATTCGGTTACTGACAATTAAATGATTTAATTACGGGAAATCAAAATCAGAAATTGCAACTTATCGCGGTACAGTGTGAGAAATATTGTTAGAAGATATAACGTAACTGGTTCAGTTAATATTAAGCCACGATATGTGAAAAAAAGTAATATCACAAATGCCGACCGAAGAGCATTAAGAAGAATAATCGTGAAAAACAGGCCTGCCAATTATATACAATTCAGTGCTCTGTGGAGTGACACTGTTGGAAGGAGAATTTCGATGTCCACAACTCATAGAGAGGGCCACTAACTGGGATTCAGCACTTGCAAGGTAAGTTTTCTTATGAAAAAAAGTGAAGTAAAAACCCTGAAGTTGCACAACTTGTTTATAGGCCAAAGAAAAGCCACTATCAACTCCACTGCAAAAGAAAAATCGGCTTAGATGGGCTAAAGAACATAGACAATGGACACCTCAACAATGGTGTGCAATACAATGGAGTGATGAGGCCCGATTCGAAGTTTGTGTTGGTGACAGTCGCAGTAGAGTTATTCGCAAAAAAAATGAAGCATTCCATGTTGACTGTCTGAAGAGAAAAGTGAAATTACCAGCATCCATTGTGGTCTGGGGCAGTATGTCATCAAAGGGAGTAGGAAAACTTCATTTTATTGATGGAACTGTGGATACAAACAATCGCTTTTACCAGTGATGGAAGAATGTTTGACATCCGGCCAAGATTTTGTGTTTCAGCCAGATGGTGCAGCGTGCCATACCTCAAAAAAGGCTATAAAATGGATTTAAGAAAATAATGTACCACTTTTGAAATGGGTTTCTAGCAGTCCAGATCTGTCATCTATTGACACTTTGTGGCACGAGATGAAAAAGGTTCTACGAAAACATCCTGTTCGTACAATCACCGAACTGAGACAAAAGCTTCAAGAAATATGGGATTGTTTTACACCAAATTTTTGCCAAAACTTGGTTAACACTATGCCCCAAAGAATTTCAGCCGTAATAAAAAATAAAGGTGATGTTACCCAATGGTAATCTTTCAATTGTAGCTTTATTAACTTCGCGCATTTATTGTTCAGATGTTTTATAAGTTATAGGTCTAAGTGATTTCAAATATGTATTTTTTACGACTAGAGCGTATCTAAAATATTTTTGAGAAAATAGATAGTTTTAGAAGTAAATAGTTTCGTCATGTTTAGTTTATAAAGGCATATTTTGGTACAAATCTTGTAGTGGGCCAACTGAAGTGGGAAGGGGCTCCTACATAATGATAATTCATTGTATCGCGTGCGAAAACTAATCACGAGGCTACACATTCACACCATAAATATCATACCTACTCCAAAGATAATACAAGGTGCTTCTAAGTCGCTCAGAAAACGTCATTCTGCCATGATACGGCAAAAACATTTCCGAGTACAAACTGGGAGGATTAGGATTCCCCATTGCATAGTGACTTCCTATCCAACCTCCCATTGAAGCCACACCTACAAACGGCACTTCAAGTTTCGCTGCGACCGCATAGAGAATAGGAGAGACGTAGGTTTGGGCTATCACCAAATCAAAATTCACATCACTGTTGTTATACACTTCAATGAATCGCCTATCACTCAACACTGCATCTGCTAGTTCGTAGTTCAGTTCGAATATTCTAGGTATCTTGGAATGTACGGGTTTTTCTTTAGCCATGAAGTACTGAAATCCATGCTTCTGCATGATTTTGTAGTTGGTTTCGCTTACGTCTATCTCTGTAAGGTTCACTAACGTAGGGTCTCTCAGAGGGTTTGGAGTGACCACGGTCACTTGGTGACCTAACAACGAAAGTTCTTTCCAAATTGGTTGAAAAACGCACTGGTGACTGAACGAGGGCATCTGGAAAACTCCAAGGATACGCGCACTTTCTGAAGACGCCCATAGTGTCAGGAGAATGAGAAGAATCT